GGGAATGAGCGGAAGGATCCTTCCTTGCATGCCACAAGCCTCCAGATCCACCCCTACCTATCTCTCTCTCTGTTCTCGCATACCAGCCTCAGGATTCTTTAATTTTTAATTTGAATTCTTCATATTTTAAAAAAATTTATATTTCTCTTTAGTGAACTTATTGGTTTGCAAGAGAACTTTATACAGTTGTCTCCTAAAAATTGTATATATTCTTTAACAGCTGGTAGCTCAATTTTGAAAATGAAATGTATTTTAATAAAACAATGCCTTTATAATTATTCAAATTGTCTTATACATTTTTGGGGGTCATCCTATATATAAATCAAGCAAGCCTCTACTTCATGTTTTTATTTTTATATCTTTCTATACATAAATATTTCTTTCTTACATAAATTTAACAGTCTTAGTATCCTGGAACCTGCATTTACCTGAGAAAAGCCTGTGTTCATATTCCAAGGTCATTACAAAAGAAAAAACATTCTACTTGTTACTGTTTACATTTAAGTACATTTGAACCATATGAAAATTTTTTTAAAGCAAATGTTATAAATCTAGGGTTATGCTGTTTTCAGATATTTTGTGAATGCAAAAAATATCTCTGGATTAAAGGCAAAGGAGAGATGAAGGAAAGGAGAATGAGACAGAGATTGAGAGAAAGAGGAGGAGGAGGAGGAGGAAAGAGAGAGAAGAACCAGCTTAGAGAAATGTCAGGGTAAAAAATGCCTTTTCTCCCTTGGCTGGAGCAGAGAGAGAGCCATATCTGGGGGTGGGAGAACAAGAGATTAGAAAGACTCATGATATTAACAAGGGCCAGAGAATGTCAGAGATGGAAAGAAAATGTCCTCCACAGCTTATTTACATACAATGAGCTTGACACCCAGAGAGAGTGGCTGCCAAAGGTCACACAGTAATTTACTGGGGCTCCTGACTCCTAGCTCAGCATTCTGGTCAGAAAAGCAGAAAGGGCTGCTTTCAGCAGGGAACCATGCACAGGGTAGAGGGTTGGCCGGAGGAACCTGTGAAGATCCTACCAACTCTGAGATTCTGAGACTCAAAAATATACTTTGAAAGATCACTCTGTCCATGAAGTTCTCATAATCAAAGACAAAAGTTTGGAGCTGAATAAAGTGCACTCTGGCACAAAGTAGGTGCTCAATAACTACCATATCAATGAATGTGGATGGTTCTTATCAATAACAGTAACTAAGTGCTCCTCTTAGATTACTCCATGAGCTTAAGTGAGTGGCTCATGACAATCTCAGTGTCTAGGGTGGTTGAGCGGGTGCCAAGGGGAGTTAGCCCCATGGTGGGTTAGCAGAGGGAACTTCACAGCTGAGGAACCTGAAGCATCAGGCTGTCATTCAACCTGTAATATTGAGATAGGTGATCCAAGAGGCCAACGGGCAGGCAGAATAATGTTGCCCCAAAGCTCTCCATGCCTGGTCCCTGAGAATTTGTAATATTACTTAACAATAAAGACTGCAGATCTGATTAAGGACCTTGAAATTGGGAGATTATTCTTAATGATCCAGGTGGCTGCATTGAGATGCATAGAAGTAGAAAACCTTTCCCAGCTAAGGTGAGTGTCAGAGGGAGATTCCATGATCAGAGAAGAGTCAGAGACATGCAGTGTTGCTGGCTTTGGAGATTGTAGAAGGGAACCATGAGCCAAAGAATGTGGGCAATCTCTAGGCCCTACACAAAGTAAGGAGCCCCCAGAATGGAGCACAGCCCTAGTGACACCATGATTTTAGCCCACTCAGGCCTGTGTCAAACTCTGGCCTGTAGGGTTTGTAAGATAATAAATGGGTAGTGTTTAAGCCACCAAACTTGTGGTAGCATTGAGATCCACAGAAGCAATAGCATTTTGTAGCATTTACTTTGCTACAGAAGCAATAGAACACTAATGCAGTCATGAAAGCCCACACCCAGCCACACACTTGTCTCAACTCTCAAGATGTCCTGACTCCAACTCTGCTTTGAAAAGCCCCCCTTCTGCCTGCCTGAGGTCCCTAGTAGTTATATGCTGCTTTCTACCATTAGCCCCCATTTTGTCCTGAAAGACCTAAAATCTTCTTTGTTATCAATAGCTCTATCACAAAAAAAAAACAGCTAAAGTTGCGGGACCAACAGAGAGATTGCCTGGCCAACCCTGGCCAACCCTGACCAACCCTTGTGGGTTTTGAACCCAGAACCCATTTTCACTGTCTTCACTGGAAACATTTTACTTGCTATCACTTTGTCATTATTTCTGTCTGGGGGTGTGGTTGGGGCTATGTGGGTGGCATCCATAAAGACTGAGCTCTGAGAGAATGAACTGTGACTCAAAGTCTACTGCAGAGCCCAGTCCTCTCCCATCTTGCCTTCACCTTCATCCCCAAAGTGTGCATCTTCTCAAAGGAGCCAGAGACAAGCCCTTCTGTCTGGACAGTTCCCAAAATGTGTCTATCAGGGTTGGAGATGTCACCCTTCTTCTGAAAGGAAGATGTCTCCTCCTAAGTTAACTGTTTCAATTCCCAACTTCTAGAGATGACACTGGAGAACTCAGACAAGAAGCTGCTATGGCCCTGGGTCTACATTCCCTCCTTTCCAGATTTCAAAACCTTGGATATGAAAGGGAGACAGAAATCTCTGAGTGGAAACTCTGGATCTAATCCTGGTCATGCACCTCAGCTGCCATAATCATAGTCCTGCTGGAAAATTCCTTTGTGCCTTTATCATCTCATTTTACTTTGGAAAATCTAGGAGGAAGGAAAGGGCCAGGATACAGGCACTGCCATGGGACCAATCCTAAGCCATCAACTGCTTACGTGTATCTAGGTCTCTGTCCCTTTCTTCATTCAGATATTTTTCTCAAATGTTACTTCCTCAGAACAAACTTCTCATTAACCTAAGCAGTAACACCAGTGTCTCATAATCCCCCGAGGACTCCTTGGTTTCCCATCATTCCCATGGAGATCACTCTGCTGGAGTCTAAGTTCCCATCCAGCATAAGCTCAGCTCTAAACCTCATCAAGAAACCAAGGGCCTGGAGACAGTGAATAGGGAGATCCAAGAACACTCATGCTTGGAAGAGAAGGGACAGAAACAGCATCTTTACTCTCTGGTCTCCAAAAGGACTCCTGTCTCACATTCTAGGTCCTGGACTTGGTGACACAGGGTAAGCCTTTATTTAAGATGTCAGCATAAGGATTGGAGATGTCACCCACTCAGAGTGCCAACTGTTCCAGCTGTGCAGAAGCCTCAGTACATCCCTGCCAGCTGCAACACCAGTACATCCCTGCCAGCTGCAATACCCTGCCAACAGCAATGGACCACATATTTTATGTCGCTCATGTCACAGAGTAGACCCATTAGGCAAGAATCTCTAGACATGATTTCTTAATGCAAGCAGCTCCAGAAGGAGACACTGCTTAGCGACTAAGGTAAGTGGCTTAGAGTTGCGTATGGGACAGGCTCTGTAGCACAGACATAAGGATGGGCTTGAATTTCATCAGGGCTGGGTATAGATTTTAGACCTAGTGTTAAGGTTTGTCAGTGAGATGGGTATAAAACTGGTGGAGGGCCAAACCCTCTTCTTTAAATTGGAATGCCATTGCTGGTGATCAGGACACAGTCTCAGGTGCAGCCTTTATGGGCCAGAGAGAAGGCGAAAGTATAACTATACACAGTACTGATTTTTTTGGACAATTGTCAGTTTTAAAAAGTATCCTTTCAGTGACCTAAAATTCCAATGAACAGCATAAAGCCGTGAAAATATTAGCTTGCGAGCGCGCGCGCGCACACACACACACACACACACATTTCATACACTTGTTGGCCCCAAAGAAGGTGGAGAGATGATGGGCCAAGGCAATATGAGTTCACTGGCAGCTGTAGCAAGAACAATGAGAACAATGACAAGAGCTGCTTGAGCCCCTAGCATGTGCTGTCACTGTACTGAGTAGTTTACTCATTTAATCTTTGCAGCAGCCCTGGAAGCTAGTACTGTTATTAGCTTCATTTTATAGCTGAGTAAATAAAGGTCCAGACAGGGAAGTCATAGAGAGGAGCAGACTGATATTCCACAACAAGCAAGTGTTACACCAGAATTCAAGCACAGTTGAAGGTCATGCCTCCACCAACCACCATGCGAGAGTGAGGGGAGTCAGGGAGGCACAGGGGAGACTGCAGCAGCAAGGCAGCACCATTGGGCAGAACGCTGATGACCTTCCAGTTGCTGGCAGAGCAGCTGCCTGGTCCTGAGGCTTATCTCTGTGACCCCCTGTGTCCTTTCTGCTCTCTATCTTTGCAAATAATACTAGAAGATCTCCCCAAAGAAATTTATTGACTCAAAACTCTGACTTTCCATTAATTGCTTGATCCTAGTTGGAGCAATTTGCATGAGTGACAGTCCTCAACAGAGAGACAGCCCAGAAAGACTTGAAGAGACACTTTTGAAAGGGGTTGGTGCACAGCTTCTGGGTCATGACACAGACCCCTATCGTATACACACTCTAGACACACTAATTCTCTTTCTATGTTCCCTCTTCCCTGTCTTTTTCTGGTTTTTCCCTCTCACATATTTGCTCTTCCTATTGTTTCTCATTTGCCTTCTTCCTAAATGTCCATGTCTGTTGCTGTGTTGTCTTTCTTTATTAATCTGCTCCTCTGTGTTTTTCTTTCACCTTATCAATGCCTTCCTATGCTTTTACTTGTATGACTCCCTAACTCCCCTGATTCTCATATTCCCATGTCGTTATCTTTATCTTTCTCTCTCTGCCATTCTGTTTATCACTGACCACCTGCTTGCCTATTTCACCCTGTTCTCTTTCTCTATCTCTATCTTTGTTTTGGAGTCAATGATTCTCATTCTCTCTCTCTCTCTCTCTCTCTCTCTCTCTCTCTCTCTCTCTCTCTCTCTCCCCCCCCTCACATATCTATCATCTATTTTCTATCTATCTATCTATTGCTATCTCTGCCTCTCCATCTGTCCCTTGTTTCCTTTCCATGCAGGACCCAGCCTCTGGATCATGGCAAATCTGAGCCACCCTTCTGAATTTGTCCTTTTGAGCTTCTCGTGTTTCGGTGACCTGCAGGTTCTGCTGTATGGGCCCTTCCTCGTGCTTTATCTTCTTGCCTTCATGGGAAACACCATCATCATAGTCTCTGTCATAGCTGACACCCACCTATGGACTCCCATGTACTTCTTCCTGGGCAATTTTTCCCTGCTGGAGATCTTAGTGACCACAACTGCAGTGCCCAGGATGCTCTCAGACCTGCTGGTCCCCCACAAGGTCATTTCCTTCAGGAACTGCCTGGTCCAATTCTACTTCTACTTTTCCCTGGGATCCACCTCCTTCCTCATCCTGTCAGACATGGCCCTTGACCGCTTTGTGGCCATCTGCCACCCACTACGCTATGGCACTTTGATGAGCTGGCCTGTGTGTGTCCGGCTGGCAGGGGCTGCCTGGGCAGCTCCTTTCCTCGCCATGGTGCCCACTGTCTTCTCCCGGGCTCATCTCAATTATTGCCATGGCAACGTCATTAACCACTTCTTCTGTGACAATGCACCTCTGCTGCAGCTATCCTGCTCAGACACCAGCCTGCTGGAATTCTGGGACTTTGTGATGGCCTTGGCCTTTGTCCTCAGCTCCTTCCTGGTGACCCTCCTCTCCTATGGCTATATTGTGAGCACTGTGCTGCGGGTCCCCTCTGCCAGTGGCCGCCAGAAGGCTTTCTCTACATGTGGGTCCCACCTCACCCTGGTCTTCATTGGCTACAGCAGCACCATCTTCCTTTATGTCAGGCCTGACAAGGCACATTCTGTGGAAGTCAATAAGACTGTAGCCTTGGTGACGTCAGTCCTCACTCCCTTTCTGAACCCCTTTATCCTCACCCTCCGCAATGAGACATTCAAGGCCGTGCTATGCAGGCAGATGCAGAGGCTGAAAGGCCTCCACACGGCACTACAATGAGCCTGAGGGACCCAGTCAGGCTTAGTAAAGGAGCTCTGTGAGGAGGCAGAGGACCAGCTGGTTGGGAAGAACTCTGTCAGGTTTCCTTAGCTTTTTACCTCTGTGCCTCTGAATGACAACTATGGTGACTCCCCAGTGTTCCCCTGTCTTTACCAAAGCTCTCATAGACCGCCATGGGGGTGCTCCCCATACCCAGTAGCAGCTGCAAGAACTTTGAAAGTAACCCAGAGTCTGGGGAGCCAGAAGTGGGGCTTTCAATACAAGAAAGTACATGGCTTTCTATTCAAGGCAAAGTAGCCAGGTCATGTTCTCTGATCAAGAGATATCCAGGTCAGTGTGTGTGTGTGTGTGTGTGTGTGTGTGTGTGTGTGTGAGTGTGTGTGTGTGTTATATTCCTGAAAGCCTATTCCAGCGGTTCTCAACCTGTGGGTCACGACCCCTTTGGGTGTCAAACAACCCTTTCACAGGGGTCGCCTAAATACATCCTGCATATCAGATATTTACATTACGATTCATAACAGTAGCAAAATTACAGTTATGAAGTAGCAACGAAAATAATTTTATGGTTGGGTCACAACATGAGGAACTGTATTAAAGGGTCACGGCATTAGGAAGGTTGAGAACCACTGGCCTATTCCCTTTGGAATTAAACATCAGGTTCATTGACTACACTTTCCTCCCCCAGCTGAAAATCTTTAGATTTTCTAGTGACTTGGTCCTAAGAATCACTGCATTCTCTCAGCTTTCATCTATCCTGGATTTTTCTAAAATAGCCCCAATTTAAAATATTCTGCCAAATTCTTTCTGCAAATACACTTTAATTTATCAAACTACATTTTGCAGTAAACTATGAAGACTTCACTTATCAAGAAAGTACTACTAGTGCCACTTACTTTAAGACAACAAATCTACAAATTTATTGCAAATGTCAAGCTTTTTAAAAGTCTACTATGTGGAAATAAACAAGGCAGGGAACTTGGGCTCATTTGGTGGATACAGAGTGCCTAGCTTTGGAAACGTGACTCCCTTAGTGGCCCCCTGGTTCTCATTATGTGCTCTGGTGTCACCCCAGGCTAACCCCTTCCTAATCAAGGTGCCTTTTTCTCTGACTTTCTGAAAAGTTTATTTATTTCTTGCTAAGATGCTCCTCATCCAAAAGAGAGGTGCACCTTAGGTTGAAAACCTTGTCCCCTCCAATTACATATCAGAGCAGTGACTCTTGTGTTTGCTGTTGCACCAATGGATTTATTTTCTCTAATTATTCACTACTCACCAGCTCAAACAGTAAATATTTGTAGAATAAATGAAAAAAGATGAAAAAATTAAAAATAATTCTTCTGATAATACAAACTTTAGCTATGTGTGTGCATGTTTATAAATATACAGTATGTGTATTTTTTTCACACTTTACAAAACACTTCAACATATGTTTTCCATTTGTTTTTATCCTCAGAGTAATTCAATTAAATAAAGACACTGATCACTCACCATGAGTAATGCACTCCTCTTCAGCACTGGCCATTAAAGATAAAAGACATGTTGCCCAGCTGGTGTGGCTCAGTGGTTGAATGTTAAACTATGAACCAAGAGATCACAGTTCAATTCCCATTCAGGGCAAATGCCAGGATTGTGATCTCGATCCCCAGTAGGTGGCATACAGGAAGCATCTGATCAATGATTTTTCTCTCATCATTGATGTTTCTATCTCTCTCTCCCACTCCCTTTCTCTCTGTAATCAATAAAAAAAAATTTTTAATGCTGACCAAAAAAAGATAAAAGACATGTGGATTTTAACCTTAGGTTTCTCCATCCATGTGACAGTGGAAATAGTACAGTTACTTGTAACACATTGTGATAAGGGGTTTTTCTACTAAGTGCCATGAGAGCCCAGAAGACAAATACTGATTCTTGGGTTGCAGCCCAGCAGTGTTTCTAAACCACTAATGGATAAGTTTTAGGGGAAATAGAGATGAAAACAGAGTTGGTCAAATCAGTGGCCAAACTAACAGAATCTGATTCTTCAATCTTATCACCTTTCCATGCTTGGACATTCTTCTTCTATCTAAATCAAAATTAGATTCACTAAACATTGGAATATCCAGGATCTGATGCCACTAGACTCTTCTATCCCCTTAATCAGTGTATATCCACCAAGATTCCATTCAGTTTATAGACTCATTAGTGGCCTGGTGCACGAAATTTGTGCACATTAAAAGGAAATTAATTAGAGGAATATATTAATATTGTTATTTGCCCTTTCTCTATAACAGAAGTGTCAGAGATGAAAGAAAATTAGTAAAATGTATATGAAAATCTTCCTCCTGTCAGAGTCTGGGGCATGCCACAGGACCCAGAGTCAAGTCCCCGCCCACCCGTGTGCACCTTGAAATTGTGCGAGACCCAGACCCAGCTGGCCCCACCCCTGTTAAGCCCCACCAGGCGGGGGGCACAACCTCAGGTCCCCCGGTGCACGCTCAGGTCCCCTGGCCCAATGCCGGGGCAGGGGGCGTGGCCTGAGGTTCCCCATCAAGCTCCATCAGGCAGGGGGTGCAGCCTCAGGTCCCCTGGTCAGGTACCAGGCAGGGGGTGCAGCCTCAGGTCCCCTGTCAAGCCCCGCCTGATGGGCACAGCCTCATGGCCCCCATAAAGCCCTGCTGGGTGGGGTGCACAGCCTCAGGTCCCCCAGCCCAGTGCCAGGGCAGGGGGCATGGCCTGAGGTCCCCGGCCCAGCGCCAGGGTAGGGGACACAGCCTCAGGTCCCCCATCAAGCCCCCCCGGGCAGGGGATGTGGCCTGAGGTTCCCCGTCAAGCTCTATTAGGCGGGGGGCATGGCCTCAGGTCCCCTGGCCCAGCGCCAGGGTGGGGGTGTGGCCTGAGGTCCCCCATCAAGCCCCGTCGGGTGGGGGGCACAGCCTCAGGTCCCCCACCCCAACCTGGCACCACACAGCCTCAGGTCCCTACTGATCACTTGTTATGGCTCATTATGGGAACCCTGCCTCCGCTGTGGGCGCAGCCATCTTGTGACAGCATGATGGAGTGAGGCTCAATTTGCATATTACCTCTTTATTATATTGGATAATGGCAATAGTTCAAGTAACCACATAACAGTAATTGTATGTTTTATACCCTGACTTGAAAGAAACACATACTATTTCTAAAACAACTATAGATTCAGTGTCACTTTTAAAGATTTGCATTTTATCACAATAGTATCCACAAATATATGAAGGTTGGCAAATAACATGTATACATGAGAGAAATATTTTCACTTAGTCTATAAACAATGTTAATTGCATGATAGATTCACACTTTCTTTTTTATCAGGAGATAGAACAATTGATCTTATTGTTAGTTTACATAAGGTGATTTGATATTAGGTGATTATACAAAAGGCAACAGTTTTCCCCAGAAGTAGCTTTCATGGGAATATAATTGCTGGAGCCTAAGACAAGATTGTTTGTAACACCCAGGACTAATTTAAATATAGGTAAAACCAGTGGTGGGATTTCATGTCTTCCCACCTTCCCCACCCACCCTCCATTTGTCTGGCATTCCAGCCCCAGAGATGCAGTGCTCTAGTAAGCAATCATTAAAATGGCAGGGTTTTGAATGGCTAACACAAGAACCCATTGTCACACATGTAAATCCTGGTGGGAATCCAAAAAGTAGATTTATTACTTACAGGTGGGAGGACAAACAAATAGGGTATGAAAGTTTTGATGGGGGAAGATAAAAGAATCAAGTCATTTTTTAAATATATTTTTATTGATTTCAGAGAGGAATGGATACCGAGAGATAAAAACATCAATGATGAGAGAGAATCATTGACCAGCTACCTCCTGCATGTCCCCTACTGGGGATCAAGTCTGCAACCCCGGCATGTGCCCTTGACCAAAATCAAATCCAGTACCCTTCAGTCCACAGGCCAACCCTCTATCCACTGAGTCAAACTGGCTAGGGCTCAAATCATTTTTCAAAACAAAGTCAGGTCTGGGTCCTGTAGTGACCCTGCATGCAGAAGTTTGATGAAGTGTAAAACCCCTCAAACGCTAAGGTAGAAAATTTCACTGTTGCTGATATCAATTTATTCCACCACTTCTCCTTTTTCGCCGTTTGTTTTTTAGTTTTTATTGAATTTATTGGGGGCAACATTGATTAAAATTATATAGGAAAAAGATGAAGGGATTAAGCAAAACAAAACAAAGTTTAGCAATTCTTTAGGCTTTAAATTTCCCAATATAAATATAATCCTTGCAATAATAGTTAACAAATACTGAAGAAAGGTGGTTGTAATCCAGTGGTCTGTTGGTAAATGTTTACCTACCAGCTATCCAGTTGTACTATTGGCTGACTTCCAACATTTGCCAATGTTGATGGCTTTAATACTGCAATCATGCCAAACTACCAACATGATACCCCTGAATTTAGAGTTGGGAAGACATGCTCAGCAGCACACTATTGTACAGTATTTACACTACCTATATATATATAAAAAGTCAGCAACCGTGACGACCATAATGATCAACAACCGGTCCCTATCACACCCACTGTGGCCAGTGAACTGGCCTGATCAGGGGGTGGGGCTGGCCGACCAAGCTCCCACAGCCCCTCCCCCCAGCCGCCCACCCTTGATTGGACTCTTCCAACCCAATCAAGGGTGGGGCCGGCTGGCCAAATATCCCCCAACCGCCCCTCGCCCTTCCCCCCAGCCAGCCCTGCCCCTGATTAGCCGGCTCCACCCCCGATCGGCCTGCCCCACCATGATAGGCCTGCAACCCCTCCGCCTGTCCTGCCCAGCCCCTGATCACCCTCCCCCCCCCAATAGGGGGCAGGGCCAGCTGGCCAATCACCCATGGCCCCTCCCCCAGGCCACTAGCCACCAAGAGGCCCCCCCAACCCCAATCGGGGGCAGGACCCGTCAGCCAATTGTTTACAGCCCCTTGCCCCAGCCAGCCCAGCCCTGATCGGGCCCCAATCAAGGCAGGCCGGCTGGCCAACCTCCTGCCATCACCTCCTCCCAACAGGCCCAGTCCCAATCTGCCCC